TGCTCCCCCAAGGCCGAGGCCCAGCTCAACACCAGACTGTTCCCCAGGAAGCCTCCCAGGGAAGGAAACCTAGCAAGTCAGCGGCCAACTTTTCAAGGTTCAGGATTAAGGACAGCTTCACAATCTTGTCCCTCCTGGAGAAGCTAAAAGGGGTTCTTAACCTTTCTCATGCCAGAGACTCCTGCTGGCAGCCAGGGAAAGAAGGTAGTGGAAGCCTCAGGGAGGTGCTCTGAAAGGTCCAGAATTCCACATGAGAGAACCCAAAGGAAAGCAGCTGTAGCAAGCACCCGAACTCTGTGACACAAAGCCGGGCCTGAGGAACATATACATGTGCTTCTTCCTGGATGCTTTCAATTAGGCAATCTCAAGGGTGGGTCTGGTTACTACAGTAATTTAGAAACAGATGAGTAGAGGATATTTTGTGATATCTGCTGTAACAGTAATATAATATGGAAATATCTGATTTCTAGTGGTGGCAAAGTCACAGCTGTTGCTCAGACAATTGTGGTTTTAGTAGCTCTTGTTCAGAAGGAAACTTCAGTTAGACAGTGGAGACAATAAAGATGCAACATTTCCCAGTCAACCTTGTGACCCTTAGGGGTCCATGAACCAGAGATAAGAAACCCCAAATTAGACCTGAGACAGGGTAAAGGTAAAGTAGACCGCCAGGAAAGGTGACATGGTGGTAGAGGGAGGAGACAGGTCCCTGTGGACTTCCTCTGGGAAGTGGACAAGCATTGCTGTCCTGGACAGCGCTGCAGCCAATTCCCTTTCCGGCCCAGCCCTGGTGCCTCAGCCTCTCCCACTCAGCCCACGGAATTCCTGTGGGAACGACTCCCTCCACAGGTTGGCAGGACAGGCAGGAGTGTCGGTGAGGGGGCTGGTCATATGATCCGGGCCTAGCCAATAAAGCCGCTGGACCCTGTCTTCTTTGCCCCTGGCAAGGTGGCCCTGGCAGGAAACCAAGGCTGAGGCGGCCCATGGAACTCCAGCTCCGGGACGTGGGCAGCGACTACAGGAAGAGATGGTATATTCCCCTCGGCGCAGGCGAATGAAGCCAGCTTAGAGGACCATGGGGTCAGACAGGGAGAGGAAACAGGTTCCGAACGAGCGCGTGAGGGCTGGATGCAGCCGCACCTGACGCCGTGAAGGGGAGACGACTTCGGCCACGTGTCTAACGCCTTCCTTTCCGGCAGGCCAGCCTGGATTTCTACTTGTTCACATAAGCGACTGACTCTCAACTAACACAGAAGAGCAGAGGCAACGGCAGATCTTGGATGTTTCCCGTAGCTCATTACTAACTCACTGAGGGAAACACACAATAAAATGAGAAACAGTTACTATACATAGGGACAGCGGAAAAACATACACGCTCTTGAAAAACTCATAAACAGCCACTTGGGTAGCTGCTACGCCGCTCTCTGAAGTCCTAACAATTTTGGTTTGCAAGATGCTTGCTAGGGCAGAAGAGAACCAGAAACACCCAGAACATTTTCCTTAATCACGAGAATTCCAATTTAAAAAATTCTGGGGATAATCAGGAAACCTCAGTAATAAACCTCTTGTAAAATTTTAACAGCTGCCTCTTAAGCTGCGGCAGAAATTGCTTTTCTGCCACTCTGACTTCCCCCTTTGCTCCTCGAGAGCCATGCAGATAGCCCTGGAGCAGCAGTCAGCGATGCACACCAGGGGTGCAGAGTCTCTCTGCGAGGGGAACACACTTCCTGCCAACTGAAAGGAGCCACAACGGCCAGCCACCAGCCAGGGTGGAAAACACTGAGGGGCTGTGGAGAAGACAGCACAGATGGGCCACAGGCCAGAAATCGACCCAGGACGGGGAATGGACGGGCCTGACACGACCTGGGCAGTGCAGATGCCCTGAGGCTGCTGGGCGCTCCCGGCGCACCAGGGCAGCAACGGGGCTGCCTCCTTCACACATCTGACGCCACAGGTGAGTATCTCGCTTCCCAGGGTCTGTGCCTAGAAACGGAACTGCCACGAGAGAAGCTGGCGTGAGCACACCCTGCCCGGACTCCGGCTGAGCACGGGGCGCAGACGCCCTTGGCCTTCCCGCTCTGGGGCTTCAGGCCCCGATGTTTTCTAGTTTTCCCTGCAATCCCACCTCAACTCACGTGAGAAGGGCTATTCGCCCACATCTGTAGGTTCCCCTTCCCCTGGTCCTCCCCAGGAGGCAGGCATGTGGCTTAGCTGGTGGCTGCGTGACTGAAGGTGGCCGGCACCCGCTCTCCCAGGGGCGCTCTCCCAGGGGCGCTCTCCCAGGGGCGCTCTCCCAGGGGCGCTCTCCCAGGGGCGGCGCGGGGCTACAGCTCTGCACCCTCCGTGTCTGGGGATGGCAGCTGCTGCTTTCTGTCTCGGCGCAGGACACACACCCTGGGCGGTGTTCACCTGTCCCTGGCAGGGCCTGGGCACAAGAACCCCTCTGGCCAAGTGGTAACAGGGGCAGCCAGGCCTTTCTCTTCCACGTGGCCAATCATGTAGGCAACCAATATAGGGTTTAGCTCTGAGATGGTTAACCAAGCCACTGGGACCTTCCACTGACAGCTGCATTCGCCTTTCTAGAATTTACCAGAACTTCACACTGGGGCATCAGCGGCTTTACCTGAGGAAGTGCTTCAGTCACCCATCAGATATCCAGCATGCCTGTCCCTGCTGTGTCTTTTGAAATAGCGACTTAAGAAAATATTGGTTTGCCTGTACCACCCGACAGCTGAGCTGCCAGTGCAGAAAGCTTTGCCCAGGAACAGTCTAGGTCCTCTGCTACTCTCCTACACAGCAGCCACTGAGCTCACCTTGCAATTAATCATGTTTCCTCTTATGGCCCATATTCTATAATAACACACTAGCGATTCGGCACTGGATATTCCTTGGCCTGACTCAGCACGCAGGTATTAGCGGGGCGGGAGGGGGGTCACCAGCATCCTCGTCACTTGCCCCTGTGTTCCCTCCACCCCCCGCAAGAAGATGAACATCCCCTGATGGGGCTCGGGGAACCTCACTGTGCTGGGAGCTAGTTAGTGGGGGTCCTGCCTCCAGCCCAGGCCAAAGGCTCCTGGCAGAGCGAGTGGCCTGGAACAGACCTCTGCAGAGAGTGCTCTGGGGGCCACCGCGGGTGACCGCTGCGGCAAGCCGGCCGTCAAATGTCAGGGGCGGACACCAGCAGTTGTGCGACTCCGTGGAGAGAGGGGAACTCTCGCCACCGCGGGTGGGAGCAAACGCTGCAGCAGACCTCTTCAGAGAGCAGTTGGCAGTTTCGTGTAAAGAGAATGAGACAGTTAAGCGCAGCGACATCTTTCGCCTCCCCCGCGGAGCCGGGGCGGCTCCCTGCCGAGTTCCCAGGACCACGTGGCCCTGTAAGTTCTCACTCTGGCTTGACACAAGAGGCTTTTGCAGTGATTTTACAAATGTGAGGCAGTGTTTTCAGTTCTTTAACTATCGATCATTAAAACCTCATGCCAACGCTGTAAAGTAGAGTCTACCAACATCCCCGATTTTAACAGACAAGAAAATGGAGGCACGGAGAGGTGATTTGCCTGGGATCACATAGCAGGTAGGTGGCACAGCCAGGGGGGCTGGCACCCAGCGGACCTGGCTCAAAACACCAACAACGTCACTTCTCCAAACTGCAGTTAAGTGCGTGGGCCCATCGATCCCAGGCCAGGGAGCTGACCCACAGGGCACAGCAGACCTCTCCTGTCTCCCTGCAGTGTGTTTCAGTCAGTTCACCTGTTTGCTCCCCACTCTGTCTCTGGTGAACCCTCTCAGCCCTCTGCCTGTACCCCAGTATGCATAAATAGGTGAATCTTTTTTTTTTAAAGATTTATTTATTTGTGCATATAGAGCTGGGGTACAGGCCAGAGGTGCAGGGGTGGCAAGAGGATTCACCAGAGAGAGTGGGGAGCAGAATAAGTGGGCTGACGAAGTACACTGCCGAGGGGAGCAGCGGGCAGTGGGTGGGTCAGGAGAGGTCTGCCACACCATGTGGGTCACCTCTGGGGCGGGGATCGAAGTGGCTTTAGCTTCTTACTGCTGTGTTTTAGCCAGCTGTACCACCAGGGAGGGCCCTAAATAGGTAAGTCTTTTTAAAAGACCGCGTGGGTTCAGACATGAAGCCTATTCCAATCAACCCCTATTCAGACAACCATCTCACATGGACCGAAGCACTCAAACCAACAGGCAAAATACAAACGTGTCTAGGAGATAACACAAGTTTAGCTTCGTGCCGGGGTAGGCCGAGGAATCTTGTTCAGGGATTCCAGTGCTTGTTCTTCCCACAGACTAGGGTCTGACTCACCCATGCCACCCTGGTCCCTTCT